TTGAATGGTACCCTGATACTGGTGCTTCAGCTCATGTCACGAGTTCTCCACATCACCTGCAGCAGTCTCAGTCCTATGTCGGCTCCGACTTAGTAATGGTAGGAAATGGAGAGTTCCTCCCCATCACTCACACCGGATCAACTACATTAGCTTCGACTTCAGGTACGCTCCCTCTAGTTGATGTTCTGGTTTGTCCGAATATAGCAAAGCCTCTCTTATCTGTATCTAAGATTACTGCGGATTATCCCTGTTCGTTTGAATTTGATTGTCATGGGGTAACTGTTAAGGACAAGACCACAAAGAGAGTGCTCCTATCGGGAAGCAGCACTAATGGACTCTATCGTTTGAAGAACCAACCGGCTCAAGCTTACTTCTCCTCTAGGCAACATTGCGTCAGTATTGGCATAGGAGACTTGGCCACCCAAATAAGCAAGTTCTGCATCTTCTTTCTTCTAATCAAGCCATCAAAATAAGCACCAGTACCAATCGGATGTGCGAGTCATGTCAGCTTGGAAAGAGCAGTAGATTACCCTTTTATCAGTCTTCTTTTTCTGCATCTAGGCCTCTTGAACGTGTACACTCTGACCTCTGGGGTCCAGCACCTGTTGTTTCGGGTCAGGGATTCAGATTTTATGTAGTTTTCATAGATCATTGGTCTAGATTCTGTTGGTTTTACCCACTGAAATATAAATCAGACTTTTATGCTACATTCTGTGTATTTCAACAAATGGTGGAAAATCAGTTTAACTGTAAGATCGGTACATTTCAGTGTGACGGTGGTGGGGAATTCACAAGCAAGAAATTCTTAACTCACCTACAATATTCTGGTATACAACAACACATTTCTTGCCCCTATACACCCCAGCAAAATGGATTAGCTGAACGTAAACACCATCACCTTACTGAGTTGGGATTATCAATGATGTTTGAAAGCAAGATGCCTCTGAAGTTTTGGGTTGAATCGTTTTTCACTGCAAACTTCTTAAGCAATCTTCTTCCTACATCTGCTCTTGAATCGTCTGTAAGTCCCTTTGAAAAACTATATGGGAAAAAACCTGACTACACATCTCTCAGAGTCTTCGATTGTGCATGTTATCCAACACTCCGAGACTACTCAAAGAACAAGTTTGATCCAAGGTCTTTGAGGTGCATCTTCCTTGGCTACAACGACAAGTATAAGGGGTATCGGTGCTACCTTCCCACCACTGGAAGAGTTTTAATAAGTCGCCATGTCATCTTTGATGAACATGTGTATCCCTTTGCTACCTTATACCCGGATGCTCACCCAGAAGTATCAACACCTCTTCTTCAGGCTTGGCAAAAAAGCTTTCTTCCAGCTACTGTAAGTTCTTCAGAACAGATTCCTTCGACCGGATCAACATCGTCAGCTTACTTCCCCTCTGCAGAGTCCACAGACTCAACATCAATCTTTGTAAACTCTGACTTTCCACCTCTGCAACGTCCGGTGTCAGTGCTCAGGCCTTCTTCTCAGTCAATCAGAGCTGATCAGTCTACTAGAAGTGAAAGCAGGAATTCTGGGTGTACGGCAGGCACAGATCCTGTTCCTATAGGCAACAGTTCCTTGCTTTCACCTTCTGGGACAGATTCCTCAGTATCTCGCCGTTCATCTACACCGGTAACTCCAGCTTCACTCTCTGTTGCATCATCTCCTTTGTCCACTGACAGCTCTAGCGCCTTGAGTTATAACTAACCGCACGACAAACCACTCCCTCCCTTCCCGGTCACAAGATGATTACAAGGGCCAAGGAAGGTATTTTTAAACCCAATCCTCGTTACGCCTTACTTACACAATAGGCTGCATATCCAGAGCCTCGTTCAGTTGCCTCGGCGTTGCAGCATCCAGGATGGCACAATGCAATGTCTGAGGAAATGTCCAACTGCTCTGAAACGAACACATGGAGTTTAGTTCCCCGAGCTCCTGGCATGAACATACTAGGTAGCAAATGGGTTTTTAGAACCAAACTTCATGCGGATGGATCATTAGATAAACTCAAAGCTAGGTTGGTTGCAAAAGGATATAATCAGCAATAGGGAGTAGACTTCTTGGAAACGTATAGTCCTGTTGTCAGAACGGCTACAGTTCGATCAGTTCTACATCTTGCAACCATTATGGATTGGGATGTGAAACAAATGGATGTTAAGAATGCCTTTTTACATGGGGATCTCTCTGAAACGGTTTACATGACTCAACCAACTGGTTTTGAAGACAAAGCACATCCTGACTATGTTTGTCGACTGAATAAGTCCCTATACGGTCTCAAACAGTCCCCTCGGGCATGGTTTGATAAATTCAGCTCATTTCTTCTGGACTTCGGATTTGTCTGTAGCAACAAGGACCCCTCGCTCTTCATCTACTCGAAGCAAAAAGACATTATTCTTCTCCTTCTTTATGTTGATGACATGGTCATCACAGGCAGTGGCTCCTGTATTCTGCAGTCCCTTCTATCCGAGTTGAATAAGCACTTTCGCATGAAAGATATGGGGCAGCTGCACTATTTTCTTGGGATTCAAGCACCTTTTCATTCAGAGGGGCTCTTCCTCTCTCAACAAAAATATGCAGAGGATTTACTGGCTATTGCAGGGATGACTGATTGTTCACCTATGCCAACTCCACTTCCGATTCAGCTTGATCGAGTTCCTCATCAAAATGAACTCTTCTCCAATCCCACATACTTCCGGAGTTTAGCAGGCAAGCTTCAGTATCTAACGCTGACAAGACCGGATATTCAATTTGCAGTCAACTATGTGTGTCAAAAGATGCACTCCCCCACTATATCTGACTTCATGCTTCTCAAATGGATCTTACGTTACATAAAAGGGACAGTAACAATGGGCATTAACTTCAACAAGGGAACAGACTGTGTAATGCGTGTGTACAGCGATAGTGATTGGGCGGGCTGCAAGGAGACCAGACGCTCTACTGGTGGTTTTTGTACCTTCTTAGGCAATAATATCATCTCGTGGTCCTCAAAGAAACAACCTACAGTCTCTAAGAGCTCAACGGAAGCCGAGTACAGAACAATGTCCGAGGCTGCGTCTGAAGTCACTTGGCTTAGTTCCCTTCTCAAAGAGATAGGCGTATCCATTCCTGCCACTCCAGAACTTTTCTGTGATAATCTCTCTGCAGTTCGACTCACTGCGAATCCCACTTTCCATGGCAGAACAAAGCACTTTGAGTTAGACCACCATTACGTTCGTGAAAGAGTTGCTTTGGGGTCTCTCATCGTTAATCACATCCCTTCTCCGCAGCAATTGGCTGATGTCTTTACCAAGTCCTTGCCCTGTGAAGCGTTCTGTTCTTTGAGGTACAAACTTGGTGTAGACTACCCACCAACACCAAGTTTGAGAGGGGCTATCAATACAACAAAACCTCCAGCTCACTCAGAAGTATCACAATGCGACGTCGAATCAAAACCGGCAAAGGAGTTGGGCCCAAACAATACTAAGCCCACCAATAAGCCCAACAACTCCCAACGGTCATCTCTCCAGCTTCACGACAAAACCAGAGTCTCTGCAGAGATGAGAAAGACGACGATGAGCTGCAGTGGTACGGAGGAAGCAATCCCGACGAGCAACAGCTTTGGTGTTTTGTTAATCATTGATTGACCTCTAGTTAAGCGACACTTGGCATTAGGGTTGAGTGGAGCGCCCTGTAGCTTTGTGTATAAATACATAACTCCTCTGTAATCGTTTCCTTAAGTTGAATAAAAAAAAAGAGAACAAAACTTCATCTTCATTAAATTTCCTGTTTTGCTTTTAAAACTAATTTCTTTAGTCTAGTCGAGTCTAACTGAATAATAATAGTAATTTGAATAGTTATTAAATAATTGATTGATCTAAAATAAGCAAATACATCAATCGACAATTCTAAAATTTTCCCAAAGATTGGTCTCAAACATAAACAGGATTTTGATTTTCGAATCAGAATGTTATGCCGTCACCTGTTCCATATTTACGTCAGCTAACTTTAATATATGTGATGTGGCATTTTCTTGAAGTTGTAAAACTTAATAAATTTATCTCATTCTCAGTCTGTAATGGTGAAGCACCCTATATTATGGAAAAAGAAAAAAGGATATTTAGAAGAAATCAAAGGTAAGGACGACTTTAGTGACGAAAAAACAGAAACGGGCTAAACTAACTCGTCCTTCACTGTATATCCACATGATCTGCTCGGTAGTCGTTAAGTAAACCCTAAAGTCCACCCTCGTCTATCGTACCAAGACGTGTCATTCTGCATGTAAAAGCTTACGCACATAATGACATAGTTATCACATTTATTTTGTTTCTTCCGTGATTATTGTGGAAACTCTTTTAGCTGAAAACTTTATTGTATGTCTTCTATTTCCTTAATTATAATATAAATTTATGGATACGTGATTACGTGGTATGGTGTTTAGACTATTTTAATCAGCAATCGAGCGATTAGATTAAATAATCCGAATCACTCACAGTTCCATGTATATGTAAATCGTGGTGTGGAGAAGGCGAATTGTACTCCTACCCTGACTTGACTTCTCACATTTGAGTCAAACAAAAGAGAATTTACTTTCACTGATTGATTTCATACAGTAAGATTCAGACAACAGTTTAGAAGATAGGGGCCACAACAAAAGTTTTTCGAAGACTTTTCTCTACTTACAATAAGGCCCACCCTTGGATAGATAACTTTTTTTTTTGTTCCATTGCAAGATGCCTTCATATTGAAGATGAAGAAAAAACAGAGATTCCTTTTTTTTTAACGCAGCAAGATGCTTTCATATTGAAGATGAAGAAAAAACAGAGTATCACCGATTCTCGAACGATATATACAGCCAAAACCATAAAAAAAACTAAAAGGGCAATCAAGCTAAATACACAGAGATACATACAAACAATATATAACTTACCATAAATACTTTTTTTGGGATTCTTTTTTTCTCTTGTTCTTTTCACACAGAGGCAACTAAAAATCTCTCGCTCAGACAACAACACTTTTCAAATTTGTATTAATAATAATCAATACTATTATTATATATTATCGATAAAAAGTCGAAATAACTTCTGAATAAACTAAAAAAAAAGAAGAGATAAAAGAGAAATGGGATTCACACTTGAGATTTTGTTTTTCCATTGTAAAGGAACCAAGAACTAAAAGTTTTACTGATATATCTGTAAAACTATAATAATAATAATCCACACTTTTTAGCATTTATTCGCTGACAACCCGATAAGATTATTCGCTAGATCGTAAGTGATACGTGTCCCTTGCTGCTGCACGTTTCCGATGATCGACAACGACGACGACGTCGGAGCAAACGCGAAGCAGAACGTTCCGGCATCATCGATCGGGATCAGATAATTCTTCGCCGGCAAATTCAACGACTTTCCTCCGGTGAAATGAAACGTCACCGTCGGGACTTTCACGGTGGAGAGAGACGAGAAATCGTAACACGTGTCGAATAGAGAGATCGGCGACGTTCCTTTCTTGAAATCGGTGGTGAGTTTAACGAACGCGTCGCGCAGCGAGTTATAAGCCTGAGTCTGAAGACGAGTCACGGCGGTTCCACAGTCCAAGATCACTCCTCCGGCACCGGAAGCGTCAACTTCGAACAAAGACGACGGGATCGAGACCTGTTGACCACCGACGCTGAATCCACTAAGCCCGACGTAGTAGAAAGTGTCCATCTTGCTGTTACGGAGAAGCGGAGCCGTCGCGTCTCCGGCGCCGATTTGGACCGAGTTGAAATCAAGACTCGACGATTTAGCCGAGTCACGGTCAACGAGGCAGTAAGAAAACGACTTTGCTTTGATTTGATTCGTCATCGACAAAGCTCCGCCTCCTAAACCGAGTAAACCGGCTGCTCCGGTGAATAAACCTTCGTTATCGTGACCACAACCCAAAGCGACGTCGTTTACTTTCCCTGATTCACCAAACGTCACCGTATCGGTGGCGTAGTTACCGACGGTGAAAGATCCGTCTCCGTAACTAACTTGGTAGAGACATTTGTTTGAGCGGCAAGCGGAGACGTCGAGAGACGCGCACTTTGGATCAGAGCAAGTGAGAGATTTGAAAGTGGAGGAAGAAGTCGGGTCGAAAATCGGGTCGGATTGTTGGTAACACTCGGAGCAAGGTAAGCACTGGATCCAGTTCACGTCGCTTCCGGTGTCGAGCACCACGTACATCTCCTTCGCCGGAGTTCCGACTCCGATTCGTGAGAAATACTCGCCGCTTCCTTGGCTCGTCCCGGAGACAACAGGTGTCGTTAGATCCTCGGGTTGGAATCGGGTCTCGTCGATGTCAACGGGTTTGAGATCGGATCTGTCGATACCCTCGACGGCGAATCGGATTTTGGCGGCGATTCCGGCGACTCGGGATGAGTCGCGTTCGAGTCGGCTCAGTACTAGGCTCTTGTAGTCTTTGTGCTGTGACGCGACGAGAGTGTCTCGGGAGTGAAGCTCTAGAGAGAGTGGAGAAGAGGAATTGAGGAAAACCGGGTCGGATTCGGGTTTGAACTCGGGTATTCGGGCGGTAAGTGAGGAACGAGTTGGGTCGACTGAGAGGATGTGTTGTGTTTGCTGGAGGGAAGAAACGACGTCGAGCACTGTCGTTTTGTGTGAGGTGGATAGAGAGCGAGAGGAAGCATCAGTCGTGGTAAGGCAAATAGAGAGAGTGACGACGGAAAGGAGAGAGAGAAATCGCGGGAAAGCCATTTTTTCCGGCGAAGGTGATATGAGTTTAGTGGAAGAGAAAAAGAGGAAGAAAATGTTTTATAGACCAAAAAAAAGGTTGGGGAGAGAGTCACGCCAGAATTGCTCTGGTTATAAAAGCGACATCAATAATTTATCATACTGTTAAGTATTTTGGAAAATTTGTTACATTATGACTTGTATAAAATTTTGGTATTTTCTACTATACGACAGTAAAATTTAAGGTTTATAACTAAAGTATCTCTATGTGTATATCAAATTATAAATAAAAGTTTTTATCGTATGATCCCAACATAGTAGAATATTGATCTTATACCCAATTAAATACTGTACAGGTTAATTAGTGTACGGACCTGAACAGTAGGTAGTAGTCGATAGGGAGTGGTATTATCCATTATAGTTCGACCAAAAAAAAAAAGATTATCCATTATTATTAACATAACATCCTTGAGATGCGTGACTACATGTAATTATTACTAATTTCTTTATTGCAAATTTCCCAACTGTTTATCCCAAAAAAAAATGGAAACTCCTAGCAGACTATTGAGGTATTGAGAGAAACGTATGTACAAGTTTGGAAACTAGGCTTATAGCTATAGCGGACACTTGGTTTTCTATTCTCTACTTAAGACTTCAATAAACTGGAGATGGAGAGATTAGGTTAAAAAAGGGTAATTAATGAGAGGAGTTGGTAAGTAGTTACTCTTACTTCGTTAGACGAGCTTTGGGTTTATTTCGCTTTCCCTGAATTAATGGTAACGCACCCTTTTTGCCCTTGGTTGTTGCGTTTCATTTACTTCTCTTTTGTTTTTCATCTTATTATATCCAATTTTTCTACACCCATTTTACTTTTTCCATAAATAAGATTATGCAATTAATAACGGTTTATATCCTTTACTTTTAAGTTTTATTTACATATACACTTCATTAACTATTGTTTTTTTTTCCAGGATTCTTGTGATATTATTTTATACTCCCTCCGTTTCACAAAAAGTGTCGTTCTGACATTTTTCACACAAATTAAGAAATAAGATAAAAAGTCTATTATACTCTTATTAATTTGCAGAAAATGACTTTTAAAATTATATTTATAATTAATTTTCTGAATTTATTGAGGTTAAAAATGGTATTTTATGTTAAAAATTATATTGGAATTCTAAAACGATATTTTTTTAAACAGAACGACACTCTTTGTAAAACGGAGGGAGTAGTAAAACTTTAAGAACATTATAATATAGATGCAATAATAGAGTTTTTTCTTTGTCAAAGGCAAGATTGCGAAAAAGAAACAAACAGACAGTATTATTGATGTTTCAGTGAGTTAGAGCGACTGTGCCATTATACTAAGCATGCTACGATTTTTTTTTTAATTAACAAAAATGCTGATTAAAAAATATATAGTATCGATTTGTTTTATTTTGTCGCACCGTATCGCCAAATGCTCGAAAATTTTATGTCAACTGATTAGGTTTGGTTAAATGTGATGTTTTTTGTAGTCTTTGACGTGTTTGGTTGATTGATTTTGTTGCGTAATTTTAATTTTTTATTTATAAAATTTACGAAATATTATTTGAAGAATATTGCAATGATAAATACTTTATTGATATCGTAGCAAAAATTTCTTGATTGTTTCCTTTGTCGACCAATTTTTTTAAGAAAATACACACAAATCAGTAAAGTATATCTGTAAATGGACACAACCAATTTATATTTCTATGGGCCTGCTAATGGGCCAAGGGAGTGTCCAAAATGGTATTTATTTTTGTATAGGTTCAGAAGAAACTTGGAAAAAAAGATATTATCCATAAGGGCGCCAAGCGGTGTGTGTGTGGTTTTCAATTTCATCAAAAATTCTGAATTTCGTATCAAAATCTCCACAAAAATCAAATGCGTTGCGTCGGTTTTTATTGGTCACGGCCAAGCGGAGCTTTCCGAATCTCCTCCGGTGGTCACCTTTCGTCTGGATTTCATCGATCTCCTTTATCGTCTCTATCTCCCCGTTCCTCTTGCGATAATGTAAACTTCGCCGTCTCTTGCTCCACAGCATCTGGACCGTCCGATTCGCATCTCGAATCATCATCAAATCAATCTTATAGCCGTCGATGGAAAAACCCCCCTCCTCGTCGTCGACATGCCGATCAAATGCCTAGTTCTCGGACGATTGTTCGTGAATGGATCGATTCAGATACTTCTCCAGTTTCCGAAGGTAGTATGATGTTTCTCTCTTATATAGAATTGATTTTTCTTCACTCATGAACTATTGTATTCAAAGATCTTAAAACGTCTTGAATAGTGTTTATTTGTGATATATAGATTCAGAGAGATTCACTGTAGTGTCGTATAACATTTTGGGAGATAGAAATTCATCATATCACAGAGATTTGTACTCCAATGTCTCTTTTCCTCACCTCAAATGGGGCTACCGCAAAAGGTTGATATGTGAGGAGATGATTCGTCTTAAACCAGACATAATCTGTATGCAGGTAATATAAACTTTCCTTCTTTCTTTCTCTCCAGTTAAGTTTCGTTGGTCAAGAGAGTTATGTTGTTGTTCGGATCTTTGTAGGAAGTAGACAAGTATTTTGATCTATTCAGCATGATGGAGAAAGCTGGATATGCTGGCTCCTACAAGGTTTATTTTCTTCCTTGTGTCCCATATGATCAATGATATTTGCTAGGTTGATAAAATGAGTGGAATGACATGTAAAAACATCGTTTGGTTGGTTTCATTTACCTTTTCGTCTGATGAAGCCTATCTGCAAAGTTTTTGTTTTTGTTTATATAGAAGGACTACAAATATAAGCTTTGCAATGGCAGCGGCGAACTGGAGATAACATTGACGGGTGCGCAATGTTTTGGAAGGCCGACAGGTAGCAAAAGTTTGCTTGACTCAATCTGTATCAGCGTGAAGATAAAACGGACAGAATGATCAACTCGGTATATATTGTTGAAGATTTATGTTCTTTTTGACAAGGTTTCGTGTTTTGGAGAGGGAAAACATTGAGTTTAGCCGGTTTGGGATGCGTGATAATGTTGCACAACTTTCTGTTCTCGAGGTACCAATCCTTTTCTTATAATGTTTTAACATATTCATGTATATATGCTTAGGTATTGATCCAGTGCTCTATGGTGTTCTTCTATCAGCTGCGGAAGTCTAAGTCAAGAAAGCTACTGGTGGGTAACATTCACGTTCTTTATAATCCAAGTAGAGGAGATGTGAAGCTGGGTCAGGTAAGTGTCCGTGTGAATACATAGCTTTGTGTTTTTTGCCAGAGTTCCTAATTGTTTCCATGGCTTAATTCTGAATATTGATTTGATAGATCCGTTCGCTCTGCTCAAAGGCTCACTTGCTCTCTAAGAAGTGGGGTGATATTCCCATTGTTCTAGGCGGAGATTTCAATAGCACACCCCAGGTACATTTGAACTAAAAAATAACGCATCCACTTTGGTATTGTGTGATTTGTTTATCTCATTATAATTGATATTATCTAATCACGTGCAGAGTCCATTGTACAACTTCTTGGCGTCCGCTGAGGTACGAACATTAATTTACAGAGTCTTGCTTCAGTTAAACTGCTCATTTGTCGGCTAATATATGGTTTCTTATAGTTGGATTATGTTTCTATCTTTCAGCTGAATATTATGAAACATGACAAAAGAGAGTTGTCTGGCCAGAGAAATTGTCATTCAAACCAAGTTCTTGAGACAGGAAGAAAATCTAGTAGTACAATAACTTCGATAAGCAGGTAAGATTATTTTGTAAAGAAAGATTAGATCAGGTCTGCCGTTAAGGGTTGTTTAGTGACTGCCTGGTGAAAATATCCATTGTGCTCACTTGTGGTTTGAGGCTTTTGTCTCATAACTACAAATATTAGAAGTTAAAACCAGTTTTGATACTCATTGGCTTCAGATGCTTAAGTAGCTCTTGGACCAACGAAGAGATCCGTGTCGCGACCGGGCAAGAGAACTCGTACTGGGCTGTGCATCCCTTGAAACTCCGTAGCTCATATGCCTCAGTTAAGGTAACATACACAGATGTACAGCCTATGCATTACAAAGAAAGAGTGAAATAAACTGTCCTTATATATGTATTTCGAATCTGCATAAAAAAACTGAATATGATCATGGTTTGTACACGACAGGGCTCAACAAATACTAGGGACTCTGTTGGTGAACCTCTAGCAACCTCGTATCACTCGAAATTTCTGGGAACGGTTGATTACCTCTGGTAATAACATGTGTAAATAAAAATAAAACCGAATTGAGAAATATAAATACTTGGCTGATGATTCAATTTGGAAACACATATGTCTGGTTTCAGGTACTCTGATGGTCTTGTACCTGCGAGAGTTCTTGATACAATTCCCACCGATGTTCTCTGCAAAACCAGAGGCCTCCCTTGTCAAGTATGTTTAAAAATTTGTTTGGTGAACTTGGTTTCGTTACTAAACACAATGGTGCCTAATGCTTCTTTAGCCTTCTTCGTCTTTGTTTTTTTCAGGAATTGGGAAGCGATCACTTGGCACTTGTTTCCGAATTTTTCTTTGAACTGGACGGTTGAAGGGCTTATATTTTTGCTTAACCATTAACTAAATTTGTCTACAATTATAACCGAACCAAAATTCTCGGTCCTACGGTATCATACCGACTTCGTCGAACGTACATGTAATTGAAAATGAGATAATCAGAATTATATCTTTCAGCTTTCCTATTGCATCCAAAATTGTTTCACTTTTCTTCATTTTGATATATCCACCATTTTATTATTCTTATTACATATCTGAACCGAACCGGATATAAGCTGGGTTTAGGTGCGAAAATTATCGAACCGAAAAGGAGCGAATCGAATCAATTGGTACGGTTCCTATTTGATGGTAAATGAAAATTGTGAAGGAGATCTAAAGCCTGGGAGATTGAGAGTTGAAAAATTGGAACTTTGTAGAGTCTAGGCAAAGGAAGAAGAGAAGAAAGCGGGGAGATGGCGTTGAGCTCGCTGACATGGGGTTACGCACGGATCATAGCTGGAACACTTCTCGGCGGAACTCTCGGATTCTACGTAATGCATCGCATCGAAGTTAGCTACAAGGTCAGCTTCTTCTTCTTTTTCTCTATGTCTTCCTCTAAGAAATGTTGTCCTCGATCCTAGACTGTGGTGGTTTTTATATCTTTTTTTGCTTGACACTTGGGTTTTACGCAGATGAAGATGGAGGAAGCGTTAAAGCAATATGAAAAGGAAATGAAGAAGAGACAAGAAGAAGAGAATCTTGGTCAGATCAGTGAAGATTCCGTTTAGCTTTTCTTATGTGCGTGGGAGCATGCATTCAAAGTGTTCGATGAAATGCCCAAGAGAGATTTTTTTTTTTGTCAACCAGAGATCTTTATTTTTGTTTTGTTTTCTTTTCTTTTTTCACTCTTTCGGTCTTTGGTGTGGTCTAGTATTATTAAAGAGCAAACTAAATTCTTATTACATCAGAACAGCTGTTCCAATCAAATCCATAATCTGTTGTTATTTGTTTTTTCTTCTATAACTCATTTAAGCAAACACAAAAATACACTAACAAGTCTCTCTCTCACACTACGATTGCTGTGTTATTTTTGGAACATTTGATTTTTCAATTGGTAAGAACGGTTTTACGGTGCCAACTTTTTTAGAGGTTCGATCGAAACAAAGGATTTGAGACCGATCCGGTTCACTTTGAACTTTTGAAGTGTTCTGTCGGGTACATTTTTTGGACTTTTTAGAATAAAGACTTTAATAAATTTTTAATAAATATTTTTAAAAATTCCATTTAAATATAAGTCTAAAAAGTTAGCTTATATAGCACTTTTTAGCCAAGAGTGCAATTACTCTAGATAATTTTCCACCAATCAAATCAAAAAGAAGATCAATAAATTTTGTTTTTAGCTTCGTTTTTTTTCTTTTTTATACTATTCATTTCTATTATATTATTTTCTTCATGTTACTTCATTGATTCAGCAGTCACATCCTAGAGAGAATGTCATCATTCCATGTTTTTCACCATTACAAATTTACAACTTCAAAAATGCCCAAAATGGATACTAATATCTGAATTTGTATGTTTTGTATATGTGATCAATGAAAATCTTCTTTTAGTAGGGTCAGTTCATCTCCTGAATTTTCAGGGTAAACTCCGCACAGTGAAGACATGCCTAAAACATAACATAAAATGTGGGTTTTAAAACTTAAACAAAAAAAAGTTAAACAAAAAGAACATTAATTAACAGGAAAGAGACTGGAGCTGTATACTGTGTATTGGTTTTTTGGGGGAGCATAGGCTGCATAGCATACCACAATTGCACCAGAGTAAGTATATACAAAACACCATTTTCCTCTATATTCATTACGGTTGATCGGCGCCGGCACATGTCTGTTTATCCCAGTTTGCTTTATCATAACAAATTCTTTCTCCTCTCAAGAATTGATGAATCGCTGATGAAATAAAACCTCGACTCATATTATATAATAAGTATGGAAACATGGTTAGGCTGATATATCAACCGGTAAACACATAAAGAGGTTTCATAACTTCAGACCCCATATGTATTCTTAGTTCCGATCTCCCTGAATTAATAGAATATATAGTGGCCAGCCCGATTTCTTATGTGTTTTTGCAGTCCTGTATGTTATATCTTATCCTAAATTGAATTGTCAGTGTTATTTTATAAGGATTGTTGGAAATAAAAAGAGATGATATTAGAGCATGCCATCTAACATTTACTATTTTTGTTTGACTTTATATTACACGTAAAAATAGGAATGGTCTCAGGTTGATGGATTTACATAAAGCCAAGTTGGCAAGAAAAAACACATAACCAGAGGGTATAAGTCCCCACATTTTGTGGAGTGCAGATGGAGCAGCCAATTAATTCAATAAATAGAAAGAAAGTCCAATAAACCAAAAACCAAAATCATATTATCACGAATTAAGGTTGTATTGAGTGTCATACCCAAAAAAAGGTTGTATTGAGTGCAACAGCCAACACAACAGGCAAGGGATGTCTTGTCATCATGAACTTCACGTGCACGGTGCATCCCCTACCCATTGGCCTTTCGTGTTTTATATAAGATCGTCATTAAGTTTGATTACTTCTTCAATCATAATGAAAAAGATATGACGGATTCGACCTTTCACTTGCTACGTTCGAATATCTATAATTTTTCCCATGTGATTTTCCACTTTTTCTTGAAAATGAAAGTACTAAATTTGATTCTCTTTTTTTTTTGGTTTTTAGTTTTTCGTTTACAAATTTTAGGTTGACCAAAAAAAGTTTACAAATTATAGATTACGAAGTCCTAATCTCCATAGATTTAAAAGCAGTTTTTGAATATTTTCTGTTTTGGATTTAAACCCAAATTATCCTTCTTCATGCCTAATAGACTTAACATTAAACCTGGAAACAATTAATATAATCTTTATTTGTGAATACTCTCCTAGATTTTTTTATCATTTAAGGTTCTAACTACTAACAGAATCAGAAAATTGTACTTTTCTGTGGTCCTAATATCTATTTTTAGAAGCTTGTAGGGCTATGGAATTTTATCGATCTCTTAGTTCAAAATTATTATCTGATTTTCGTCTTATCTGAAAGAATTGATAAATCTTTGTCACAGCTCTAAATTTTGTTTAATCAGAGTTTTGGATTCAATTAATACACTTTTTCCATGTAGAATCACCAAAATCTTAATCATAAATAAAATAAAAGATGGAATCACCAAATGTTTCATATAAAACAAAAGAAAATAAAATAAATCATGATTATATATGTTTTTCTAGACTAAGTGGTGGTAGCTGTACCATTTTCAACATTATATAATTTCAATTGCCGGCAACAGACAAAAAATCAAGTCTTACTATAGTACTCAAAACCAAAAGGAAAGAGAAATAAACGTTGTTTGTTACAGGAGAAGAAAAAAAGTAGCAAATGCACCGCCAAAATACTAAGAAACAGGATTTGAAACAATTGCTTAAAATTACACTTTTATTTGAAAGAAAAATATGTGCGTCAGATATTCTTAAAAACGATCATGTATAATGTAAGTTTTTTTTTTTGCCAAGCACCGAACATATTTATTTTTACATTCTTATCAAAACGTTTTGATATGATATTTAACCCAACTCATAAACCAGTGCATGGTATTCGTGAAAATAATGTAACTATTGTCTATGCATAACAAGGTTCAACTCATTCTTTCTTGGCGTCAGGTATGATATTTTATATAAAGTATATATGTGGTTCACTATTAGTCTATTATATTACAACACAAAAGCTTTTAATTATGAACGTATGTTTCATTGTACTGAGGTCCCTAGCGATTTACCCGAAAATGAGCTGTCCATATTGTAAGGAAGACTGACATGACCTTATTTCATTCATGGATTTGAATTATTAGATGACCAGAGATTTAAATGCCAAATATCATAATGATTGGAATCAGTAAAGTGGGTGATTTATTTTGAAAGCTATAGTAATGTACGTCACAGATTTTTACAGTTTTAATTTGTTTGTTGGCCAACCTCTCGATTTTAACAGTTAAATGTTAAAATGAGAGAATTATGATAAGTTTTTTTTTTTTTAGAAACGAGATTTAAGATTAGATTGAGTCTTACAATGCTAGTATATAATATGTTCTTTGTTCTAAATGAAAGATAGAAGTATATAAAAAAATGTATACCCGAAATATAATGCATAAGCATAACTGCATAAGAGTCTTAATTAAATCTTTATCGTAAACCTAATTTTATATATATATATATATATGTATGTATTAGTCGGATTTCTTTTTTATAAACCTAATGGACACTAAATATAAGTAAATTAACTAGTGATTATACGTATTCGTTGGAATTCTTTATATGCAATTTGTAATATGTTCCACGGTAACTCTTTGGACCCGTGCCTTCTTTTTTGTTTATTCGTTTACTGAAATTTATAACTATGCTAGTGTATATGCAAACCCGAACTCGAATCCTTCAATCCGGTCATTTTTAAAATGATTTGGCAGTTTTTTTTTTTTGTTGATAAAATTGATGATTTAGCAGTTAACCATAGGTTAGTTTGCATGACAAATTTAACAGAAAATCAGATTTGGACGGTCCGCATAACTATATATGTTCTAACATATATCCCAATAAAACTGAATAAATTCATCAAAACATCTCTTTGAATCGAAAGGAGACAAGAAAACAATACATCAACGATTTTCAAACATAATGGGAAGCTAGTCGGTCACACTCCCCAAGTGGCCTTAATTTGTTTTTGGGTTGTTTCGTTGAAAGGTCCCGAATCAATGGTGGGGAATAGTTCTCCTTATCTCTCTTTTTTTTTTTGTTCTTTCTCTCTCTCTCCCATATAATGATGAATCTTCACTTCCTTTTAAACCCCCCTAAATATCACACAATCATCAAGTTACACCTGAACCTCATAATTAAAAAACCAAAAACTTATATATATAGAGAGAGAGATAGAGAAAAATAATGAGGGAGAAGTCAAAGGAAGAGGCAGTGAAGAACTGGGAGAAGAAGAAGAAGTCTTCTTCACCAAAAGGAGTTGGGGAGTTTGTAAAAAAGAAGAGAGGAACGTTCTACATTATTGGAAAATGTATTACTATGCTTCTTTGTTCGCACGAGTAATTTTGTCATCAATACACACATTTGTATATGCATGTATATAGATGATGATAAAGGTATGAGAAGGAATTGCTCACAGATTTACATCATTACCTTTCCCGTTGTTTTTCTCTCATGTTTACGCAGGTCTGTGTTGTATGTATATATCTCCCACAATATTTTTCTTATCAACTATATATAGATATATACTATTTCCCCCCCCCCCCCCATCTTAATATTTTTCTTGTAAACGGATGGTTTAATTCTTTATAAAACATGGGACATTATGCGAACTGTATTATTATATATACTGTATATATTGATGATAAAAAAATTGACATCTGATTTCTTTTTAAGTTATATATGCATTCCTTATACTAAATTGACTACTTGAAACTATAAATTTTTAGGTGATCATAATAATTTATACGACATTCCCAAATATCACTTTTTAGTTTTATTTTCCCAAATCACCAGTAAATAACAAGGGATTGTAGAGGATATATTTACCTCTGCAAAAATAAAATAAAAATTAATATGCATGAAAAAGCTAAAGAGGTTGGTGTTTACCTCTGCAAAAATAAAATAAAAATTAATATGCATGAAAAAGCTAAAAAGCTAAAAATTAATTTTGTTGGTGTTTCTTATAAGTTATATAGCCCAAAGTGGCTAGGTTTTCTAATACCGACAGGAGAAAATTAGAAATCAAATAAAGGGTAGTTCTTGAGACAAAAGGGTAGTTGACGTAATGGGCCTATACTCACATTGGGTCTTAATCAGCTCAAATAATGTTTTAAATTTTGTAATCTAAACGACGTCGTCGTTTCCCATCTCTGCTGTTTGCGCTATCCTGGAAGGTTTCGCCGGAAGAAGTTCTTCAGGTAAGTTTTTGCTCCGTCGCTTGATTTTTTTTTTGGTTTCCATAGAGAAAAGGCAATTCGTGAGTTCAGGATCGTCGATCGATTACAAAATACTCGAGAAAAAAATTATATGCTCGAGAAGCCTTTTGTTCTGCAAATCCTCAATTGGGTTTTTTCTTTACTTCTATTTTGGCACAGCGCGAGAGATTTTTTCCAGCTGGTTCAGTAGTTTCAGTGACTAGTGAGGTAACAATGATTGTAGAAACTCTAGAGAGCTCCTGTGAGGGTTCAAAGAGAAAACTCGGCAACGGTGGTGATGTCGCTGTTCCTTGTTCGGAAGATGAGTTTAGCAATGGAGACATTAATGCTGCTCCTGGTGATTCATCCGTAAGCTAAAAACCATGGCTTTCCTCTTATTGCATTTTCCACGGTTATTTGTGCTCTGCATTTGGTGATATCGGTCATTGTTATGTCTTATGCAGAAAAGAGCTAGGGTTTCAAGGGAGATGACGTTTCAAGATATTTACGGTGCGGATACGTTGCTTAATGAAGAAGACGAGGAGGATGATAGTAATTGGGAACCTGTGCAGACGCCCGTGGAGTTTGTGAAATGGTGTTGCGTCAATTGCACTATGGCGAATCCTGGTGATATGGTTCATTGTTATGTACGTCTTTGTTTACTTTTTTTTTTCATATTTGAATAGTGTTGCTTTTGCTGCTGATGTGGTGCTTTTAGTATTACCAATGTATGCAATTGTGCTCTAAATGTGATCTCAAGTGACATATGCTCAGTAAAGTTTATATGTTGATGCAGATATGTGGTGAGCACAAGGAATCTGGTATCCTGAGGCATGGATATTTTGCATCTCCGTTTTGCAAAGACACTGGTCTCACTGAAGTCGAAGAGAAATGTGGAGGTAGGAATTACTTGTTTTGCTTCTTTTGAACTCATGTCCTTGAGAAATACTGTTTTTCTGTTCCACATTATCTAAGCATGTTCACTTCTCTTTTCCCTTGATCTTAGGAAGCTCATCTGCAACCAGCTCGACAGCTGTTGGGTTCGACGAGAGAATGTTGCTACACTCAGAAGTATGATCCTGTTACCCTTATATTTTTCCTGAGAAATCTATATTATGACTATGACACCGGGTCCTTCTGAAAAAGCCTTTCATGTATCTGTTGACATCAATACACTTTATTATCTCCAAAGTTTTCCCCCGTGCAAGTAATCCATTTATATATGTGTTTTTGGTATGCTTTGATTAGTTTGAAGTGAAGGCACATCCACATCCCGAGAGACCTGATCGTCTTCGAGCTATAGCTGCTAGTCTTGCCACAGCTGGTATATTGGTTTATTGTCGTTAAGCATATTAAAATATTCCGTTCTGCCTGGGAGTAGATTTTGTATTCACCACATTTGAAAATTTGCAGGCGTTTTTCCTGGCAGATGCTTGCCTATTCATGCAAGGGAAATCACGAAACAAGAACTCCAGATGGTGAGCTGCTACTTAATTTTATTAGAGACATCTCTAACTGCGAGTGGTTTGTTTATTGCATTACTTTTGCAAACAATTTGTTAACAGGTTTATATTTGACAATTTTTAGGTCCACACTTCAGACCATGTTGACGCTGTTGATATTACAAGCCAGCTTCTCTATAGGTTTGCATTTAAACCATTTTGTCTCCCCACCATCTGATACTTTGCAGTGTTCAGGATGCAAAACGTGCTTCCTTACCTAATTTGTTTGTCTCCTTTGCCTAAGCTGTTCTTCATTTGTCTGTTATTACTCTTACCGCTCATCTTTGTCCCACTGTCTGGCAGCTACTTCACTTCCGACACATATGCTAATGAGTATTCAGCACGAGCTGCTAGACTTGCAGCAGGTTTGTGCGCTGATCTAGCTACAGAAATTTTCTCTGGGCGCGTTAAAAATGGTTTCGCTCTGGTATGTCAAATTCACATAATTTCAAAATTTAAAGATGCAACTACGGATCTGCTTGAAATTGGAATTACACCATATCCGTGCTGAAGCTTATCTGATTGTTTCAGGTAAGACCACCCGGTCATCATGCTGGCATTAGACATGCTATGGGGTTTTGCCTTCACAATAATGCAGCAGTTGCTGCATTAGTAGCACAAGCAGCAGGGGCAAGGAAGGTGCTGATTGTGGACTGGGTAATGTCGCTGATATCTCAATGCTGGGTGGTTTTGTAGAACTTCAAACTTCTTAATTCTTAATCATCTTCTTTATTGTTGCAGGATGTTCATCATGGAAATGGAACCCAAGAGATATTCGAGCAAAACAAATCTGTAAGCTGCCTAACTCTATGGATGTGTCCTCATTAATTCTTGGAGTTTTGGATGCAGTAAATTATTTTTGTGAATTGACCTTTTTTATACTAATTATTGGGAACAATTGTATAGGTATTGTACATTTCCTTGCACAGACATGAAGGAGGAAACTTCTATCCCGGTACTGGAGCTGCTGATGAGGTACCCATGCTTTTCTGTTTTACAGTCTCATCCAGCATTCCTTGGTAGATTTAGTTGCAGTTGTAAATGCATATACATTAGCTATATTTACTTAACCTTGTTTCCGGAATCAGTTTTTTATTTTCTCTATGCAGCAAAAGCTATAGTTCCCTAATATTAATTATGTGGTGCAGGTTGGTACAAATGGTGCTGAAGGTTATTGTGTAAATGTTCCATGGAGCTGCGGTGGAGTTGGTGATAAAGACTACATCTATGCCTTTCAGCATGTAGTTCTTCCCATAGGTACAGAGTCGTGTTCTGTATTCCCCTTTTGAGTTTGTTTCAACGCTAGTCCTTACAAATGTCTGGTTTCGACAAACCAGGCTTTGGCCTAATTACTAATAAGCTTTCGCAAGTGAACTGATCTTTTGAGCTGGCGTTCAATCTGTACTGGGTCTGATTTCAACTGGAACCCTTTCCCTTGCAGCTTCTGCATTTTCTCCTGATTTTGTTATCGTATCAGCGGGATTTGATGCGGCTAGAGGAGACCCACTAGGCTGCTGTGATGTAAGCTTCATATTCCTAGGGCTGTAATTGACAACTTTCGGAATCAATATTGTCGTGTGCACCTCATTAGAGGATGTTCTGTTCAACCTGTTGACAATTCAATATTGGTTTTAATAGATCAAGTTTGCACGTACTTTCAGGTAACTCCGGCTGGTTATTCTCGAATGACACAGATGTTAGGTGATCTATGCGGCGGAAAAATGCTAGTTATTCTGGAGGGCGGGTACGTGTTTCTGGAGTTTACCAATAGTCTCGTGTTGTTTTCAAGTGACAGCTTTTAAAGCCTTTTTTGTTTGTCATTATTTGCAGCTACAATCTTCGCTCCATATCTTCTTCTGCTACAGCAGTGATCAAGGTTAATCTCTGTTTCAAACTCCATATCTTTCAAAATCTGCATATTGTTATGGAGACTTAACGTTTATTCATGATCCCGTTTAATCTAATAAAGGTGCTTCTGGGTGAAAATCCGGAGAATGACTTGCCTATCGCTAACGCGCCTTCAAGAGCTGGCCTGCAAACTGTTCTTGATGTACTGAATATTCAAATGAAGTTCTGGCCATCACTTGCTACCGCCTACTCCAAATTACTCTCAGAGTGGGAAACACGTCTGATCGAAAACAAAAGTAAGTGATCCTTCCCACACCAAAAAAAAAAAAAAAAAAAAAGTGCATCATTCTTCATTGTACTTTCTTTTACTAAAATCTCACTGGTTTTACAGTAAATCAGGTGAAAAAGAAGCTTGTTCGGGTTCCCACTTGGTGGAAATGGGGACGAAAGAAGTTTTTGTACAACTTTCTCTTTGCTCGTATGAATTCAAGGCTCAGATCAAGGTGGTTATTGAAACATTGATTTATGAAGATTTTTAGAGTTTAAGATTCATTGGTTTTAAATCACTTGTTAACGATTTAGTTATGGATCTGATTTCATAAGAGAATTTTGTGGATGTGGAATGAGTTTCAAGTTAAAAATACGACAAATATTCAAATCCAAGGGAGAACATACACATTTACAAAGATTAACTAAAATCCTATAAAGATTACGAAATCATTCCCATATAACTACATAAAGGAATAACACCCTCAAAAAACAAGTCAAAGTGAAATGCAAAGCTGTTTCACAGGAA